GCATTCCCAGTAACTGCAAGGGCTGTTGGAACCCTGCCTATGGTTTCAAATGACCCCTTTATATTCCCTGCACTGTCGCTAGAACTAAAGGCCTTTGAAAGTTTCAGTATCACATGTTGTAGTGAAGACTTGTGCTTTCTTTCTTGAATTTTCCAAATCCTGCCCACTTCCTTATGACCCACATGGTTCCCAGTGGCTTTCAGGCTGCTATTCCCATTTTAATTCAGCATTTTGAGCTTGGCTTACCAAAGTATACACATCACTTAAAAAGACATGTCAGCCTTTTTATGGGGTTAGTTGTTACTAGATTTAGCTGTATTTTCTTGTATAATTATAGCATATTTCAGTTACAATCAGTAATATTTTCCCCATCACTAACAATATAGCAAGATCATATTATTATATCTTATATATTGTTTTATATATCACTTTATGCATGCAGTATGTGTCAACACACAGCAAATGCATTCAATTTCAGTGTTCCCATGTACATGTATAAGTTAATGCACACAAATATGCACATGCACACTAATCTAAAGACAGTGGATGGCTGCACTGCCTCTTACCATGTCTAAAGCATTTCTTTTGATTAAAACTCAGATTGCAGGCTATCAGCCACCCAAAACAATACATCCTTGAGCTCCATCCCATTAAATCATTCTGATTGCTACTAGTTCATAAATACACCCTTCTTCGAGATACTTCATTTTGTAATTACATTTATTATCCAACAGCTATTTTAATGTACCTTTGGGATAATCAAAATACTCAAGCGACATTTCCACATATTTTCAGGTAATAAGAATACTTACACTTCTTTTTTAGTTCTGTACCTAGGTTTATTTTGCTTTACTTTAGACAAGACTGCATAGGGATTATATTTTCATTATTTTCACCCATTGCTTTCCAGAAACTAACTTTATTTTGGCTGTGATACGTCAAACCACTGCAGCACCAGACACGATGTAATGAAAACTGCAGTCCTATGGGATTTAAGCATATGCTTTAATGCTTTGCTGAAATTAGGAATTTCAGCAGGGAGACATGGAGAAGTTTCAGTAGTTTTCTCAAGCATTGCCAGTGAACAGAGAAACTCAAGTTATTTGTTGAGTATCAGCAGAACAGTATCTACATACCGATAATCCAGTCCTGACCTGAACAATGGCATTAAAAAACAGTGGCCAGTTTAACTGTGCCATTATTCTTAGAGTTATAAGTTAGGTTTATAACTATGTAACAGCTAAGTTGTCAGCATATTTTCTTTCACATTTGCGATATGAAAACTACTTTTTTTTAAAATCTCTAGTTATGGGAGAATCCTATCAGCTTCAAAATCACCAGGTTTATGAAATCAGTCACCCAAAGATAGAAATAACACCAAACAGGCCTTGATACGAGACAAACCACAGGAATATCTGTACACTAGTTCTCTTTAATAGCAAGTTACTTGTAAAAATAAACCAAAACCAGAAAATAAGCCTTAAAAAAACCTCAGAACCATTGCATATAAGCTTAATAAAATAACATTATATAAGCTTAACAAAATATGGTATTTCTTGTGTAAAACTGAGTTAAGCCATCACACACAGCAAGTCCAGACAGAAAAACTATCAGCAAGACCACCTGTATGCTTCCTGTTTAATTTCTACTTTAACATCAGAATTAGTTGCTATGCAGAAATTAATTTCTCTATAGAAAAGAACCTGGTATAAAATTCATGTTGTCAGTGTTGTAAGGTGGATGATAAAATGGTTATATCTCTATTTCCAAGAAGTCTGATTTGCTATTCTGAGGAAATATATCCTGTCTTTCTCACAAGAAGACAGAGGGGGAAGCGTTTTAAAGGCTAAATAACACCCGTAGGGATTTCATGTTCCCATGAAAGAACATGTTCGCTTTACACTTCCCTAGAATTTACTTTAAGCTTTTAAATTACTCTTATTGACATCTGTAAGTCTTTTAAGCATGGAAGACACCGACCGCTGGGGAAAAGGGAAGAAATGACAGAAACTGTTGGCAGACAGAAGCTATAAATAGAAACCAAAGGGAGAAAAGTATCACTATATAAATCCCTCAGTTTCTTCTAAATATTGTTTCTAGGTGCAACATTTGAGGCAAACATTCTCCAAATGAAGTATCTCCATCAGATGGTTTTGGGTGTCGATTTAACTTCAAATTTCTGAGGATGAAGAACATCTCAGAGGTTGTTCAAGTCTTAATCTGCAAGAAGACGACAGCAAGTAGAATCCTGTATTTGGTACCCCCTTAACTTCTGGCAAAGAGCCCATTCCCAGTAAAGTCAACACAAGATGACTGTCATTTGTCTTGATTCAGCAACACAGTTAAGCCCACGCTTACTGGTAAGCATATGAGCGGTTTTTTTGGTTCAGCTCTAAGTGTGGAAAGACACAGCATCAGCCCTTTTCCTTGGTCACCTTGCACAGAAGATTTAGTGGGCAAATTGCCCTAAGCTCCCTGAGGAGACAGAGCTGCCTTCGCTGTCTGGTGAAGTACTGGTTGAGGGTTGCATTCTGGGGTGCATCAAGAGGAGTGTGGCCAGCAGGTCGAAGGAGGTTCTCCTTCCCCTCTACTGTGCCCTAGTGAGGCCCCATCTGGAGTACTGTGTCCAGTTCTGGGCTCCCCAGTTCAAGAAAGATGAGGAGCTACTGGAGAGGGTCCAGCAGAGGGTGAAGAGGATGATGAGGGGACTGGAGCATCTCTCCTATGAGCAAAGGCAGAGGGAGCTGGGCTTGTTTAGCCTGAAGAAAAGGCTGAGAGGGGACCTTAGAAATGTTTATAAATATCTTAAGGGTAGGTGTCAGGAGGATGGGGACAGACTCTTTTCAGTGGTGCCCAGTGACAGGACAAGGGGCAACGGGCACAAACTGAAGCACAGGAAGTTCCGTCTGAACATGAGAAAGAACTTCTTCCCTCTGAGGGTGATGGAGCGCTGGACCAGGCTGCCCAGGGAGGTTGTGGAGTCTCCTTATCTGGAGACATTCAAGACCCGCCTGGACAAGGTCCTCTGCGGCCTGCTGTAGGTGACCCTGCTTCGGCAGTGGGGTTGGACTAGATGACCCACAGAGGTCCCTTCCAACCCCAAACATTCCGTGAGTCTGTGGTTTTTAACGCTACTGCATATATTATTCCAGTGCAAGATTAACTATAAAGGTACCTAGAGGGTCTCTATGTGTCGTTTTTCCTCACTAGTGCGTACAGTTGGAGAGGGGAGGTTTGGTTGTATTTTTACTTCTGCTTAAATTTAAATGTCTTCTTAAATCCCAGTGAAATTAAAGATTTGAGCACTGCCTTAATTGCTGTATCAGATAAAAGAAACATACTTGCTTAAGAGCTTGGCTAAATTAGGAGCTTATTTTGAACTGATCACAAATGTTATATTCCCTCAGATCTTTGTCAGACAGTGCGACCAAGGACACGCGAATCATAGACAATTCAGAGATGCTGCAGAGCAAACTGTTCTAACCCTGCTCTTAAGGTTTTTAACATTATTTTTCTTATACTTACATTGCCAACACTCAGACACATGCTGAAGTATCTCTACGTATTTCTACTCCATTGGAAAAATATATTTAATAGTTGGTAGAACAAATTAAGATGTTTGTATGGGTTTCAGTCATGACAAGTGGTTCTTCACGTTCCTCAACCAGTGCTTCAAGTTCAATTTGTTCATAAATGTAATTTTTGTCTTAATGGCATGAAATCAACAAAAATTACATTTAATTTCTCATGGTAATATTTTAACAGCATTAATGATAAGGAAACCCACTATTTCCTTAGTGTAATTAAGGGAATTATGCTGGGGGCTGTATTTCTACGAACTACAAATTATTCCCTTTCCTAACAGAGAAACGATAATAGCAATGGAATTGGTGTCATTAAAAGAACTGATACTGTGGATCAATGCCTTATTTACTAATGCAAATTAACCCACAGCCTATCAGGAGCCAGCTTGCTCAAAAAGCTGATGATACACTTCCAACCATTAAGGCTATGTAAAGGGTTCATAAATGTAGCAATTGTTGCCGACTTCTACAGAAAACTGGTGGGCTCATCCTAACGTGTTTCGTATTAAAATGGCTCCATTCACAGCAGCTGTTTCAAGGCAATTTCAGTCTGAATCCAGGCCCATTTTTTTTTTCATTAATAAGTTAAATTTCACATAGATAGAATTACAAATCCATCCAAACTCAACTTTTGAAACTAATCTTCTACATATGCTTCCTTTACTTTTTTTTCACTGTGATAACAATTCACTGTTTAGTGAATTAGTGCAGGACAATCAACAAAACTTCTTGCTGTAAATGGGAACAAGCTGCAGTATTGTAGGCGGCCTACATACATTCATAGTGCTAAATAAGTGCTATTTATGAATGTAAAAACTATTCTAATTAGTATATTGAAAATCCACTATTTAGTAACTTTAGGTCTGACACCTCATTATAACTCACCATTTTTTGTGGGCATAAGTCTATTAAGTGAGAAAGGTACTCTAATTACATCTTAATATTAAGCCTGGAAATTATATATATCTTATAGGATTTTAAAGGAAAACTACATATGTCCTCATTAAAAGTCAAAAATTGTTTCTCTTTTCTGAACGAAACTGCAAAGTTTTGACGTTGAATTTGGGTGGGTTTCTTTTCCTTTTTCTGGAACAGTGTCATTTTTGTGGTTATTCCATTACTGCTAACCATCTTATACCACAGAATAGATCATTTATTTCTAATGCTACTATACAGCACTCTTGCATTTCCCCCCTCAAATTCTATTGGAAAATCTCACCGTGCAAAAATAATTCAGTGTTCTTCTAGTAGCTATTAACGTTTGTTTTCTGTATCAGCCCATATGGCTTTATCATCTCCAGACCCAGTATGCTGGTAACTCCACCTATCCTCCCATTATAAGTTATCAATCAAAAAAAAATAACATGCTTGATAGTATTATAATCTTTCATTTTCTGCTCATTACATGTTCTCTATCTATGCAACTGCAGCGTAGTCATTGCTCTGGTCATTTTTTTCACTTTCCTGTGGGCTGGTGATTGTCACCCTTGGGTTTGTGGATGTTTTTCCAAGATGGGAATCAATCTAGAGAAAAAGGACAGGAACTGTTAACTTCACTGGGTGACAAATATTTCACTTCATTACAATACAGTGTTAGCACTTCATAGTAAAATTTCCACAAGGTATTCTTCATGTGAAAAATGTTTTCCAAGAGCGATCACATTAAGATTTTTATTTACCTTATACTTATATACCTTCCAAAGGAGAAAGTACTCAAATTAGAGGTTCTCCCCCAGCTCTTAACAGAGCAAACATCCAGTTACCCACATATCAATTTAAAGTTAATGCTCCCTGACTTTCTCCACTTCCATAAATAACTTCAGCTTTCTAAAACCAAACAAAATCAATATATCAAGCATGGAATAAATTCAGAGCCCAAGAAAATATCACATAACTCAGCTCTCTTAATTGAAAAATGTTCTTGTGTGTCATACAGAAACAGAAGAAAGCCCAGTTACAAGGTGTGAGAAACCATTCCCAGTGTCACAAGAAGCAAATGAAGAGTCTGTTTTTCAGCAGCCTATAGGGAGGGAATATGCAGCAAGTTGTTCTGCTTCTGAAGCTCAAGAATCCCACTCTTCCCAGATCTGGATTGTCCCCATCAAACAAAACACTTCATTTCCCACATTCGATTCACTGGTCCGTTCATCTGAGAGTTAGGGTAGTCCACCTTATTTTTCTCGGCCGCATGCCTCCATCCAACAGCATGTTACCGTGCCTCCTAAACTAATGGGATATTTGCTTTAAACTGACTAAAGCCCCTTGCTTTGAGGATTTTGTCATCTGCCTCTTCCACTCAGCAACGTTAAAAGCCTGTTATGAAATGCAGCTTCTGTGAAAGTCAACTTATCAAATTAATGAGGCACTGTGGTTTCATAAACACACCCTTCTTCTCAGTCCTAAAGGACAATGTAGTGTGGAAATATACAAGGATTATGCTTTTATGGAAATTGCAAGAAATTTTTTTTTTTTTTCCCCAAAATTCAGCATACTCAGGAAAGCAGGAGATGCAGATTCATCAAACAGCGAGAAACATCTGCTTTCTCAGTTGGAGGGCATATAATCTAATTACTGATGTAACTGAGCTATACAGATGGAAAACTGCTTTTCCCACAAACTGAAGTTCTTGTAAATGCTCGCAGGACCTTATCAGGAGTGAGCTACTTAGAGACTAGCTGAGAAGCCTATGGCTGAGATGAATGAGGGACAATAACTCAAGAACAACAAATTGAAATAATAAACACTCACCTGGTTCTGATTGTCAGAATCCTCTTCTTTTATTCCTTCTTCAGGCTGACAATAACCTTGGTGGTTCAACTTCTCCATTCCCTCACCATTTTCTTCATTTTTCTTGCCATTTAAATCAGTAAGTTCCTCTTCTCTTTGGTCAACATTATCTGTTTCTTCTCCTTCATCTTCATAATTCTCATTTAATTTCTTCTTTTTTTCTTCCACTTCACTTCTTTCTTCAGCAATTTCCCCACTCTCCTCTCGATTCACTTCTGGAAATTCTTCCTCTCCCCTGTAATTTTCCTCTTCTGCATTTTCTTCTTCATCTACAGTTTCTGCTGGCCTCTGGTGAAGGGAAAAGCAGCAGCATTATGAGGCATTTTTAATCAGAACACTCCATGCAATTCTGAAACGTGACAGACATCAAAATCACAATTACATCAGTACTGGAGAGTAAGTATGCTAATTTGAGGCTCGTCTACATGGGCAGAAAATGATACTCCTGTACTAACACCCCATAATGCACTCTTATTCTACATAAAAAGTGTCAGCGAGATTGAAATGTATTACACTGGGTTAATCCATACTCAAAACAACTGGAACGAGCTAGGTTTAATTAACACAGTAACAGCTATTTTGTTCCAGCTATTCCGTGTTCTCTGACATTCTAGCATTTAGTACATATTTTTTTATAAAATCCTGTCACAATAAAATACCATACATCACTAGCACACAAACTGTTCCCCAAGAAGCATTTTGCCAATGGACCAGGCCATGCCATGCCAATCGGTCGTGTCGTGCAGCCTGTCTTCTTTGCATCCACAGAAAAGGAGCAAGAGACATGAGGTAGACCTACTGGTCACTTCCACAACATCATTCCCCTTCCCAAAGACCCCTATGTAGAGTGGCATGGTTAGGATTTGTTTGACATTCAGCAATTAATTTTTCCTCCACGGAGGCAGACCAGCAGACAGGAGGGGCAGGATCTTGTCCCATATTGAAGAAGAGTAAGCAGAAACTCACTACAGATAAAGCTGCCAGCAGCATCATTTCATGATGGAAGACTGATGCACATACTATCTGATTTTTATCATTCGTCTTCCAGTTTCAGCTTTGAAGATTCGCCTGACTATTCAGTGAACCGATGTCCCCGCTGCCAAGATGACTTCTGTACTTGTGCTAAGGTTTCAATGAAAATAAAGAAAAAAAAATCCCACAGGAATGACAGGGTGTCTGCCTCCTACACAGCCTCATCAGACTCCAAATCTAAAGCAAACAAGCTGAGAGCAATGCATTATCTCTTCATCAAAAGTGTTTGGAATTTTACTATCATTAGCAGCTCCTTTATGCAGGCA